CATTCTCATAAATTTAGTATGCAGTGTAATTTTTTTTTAATTTCTTTCTCCAATAATTGAGGCCCTAATTATAACGAAGTTCTTTTCGTTCTAATTAGCTAAGTCTGTAATTGTTACGTGAGGTTAAAATTCACAGGATGCTCATCAAAGAAGCTGATCAAATTTTCATTTGATAGATTCATGGTACACAGAAATTCTAGCCAAATTGATCTGTTTGTTTAAATTAAACGCCGCAGAGCACTTAATTAGTTGTGTTTTACGAATTTCAGCATCATATATAGTGTTACATCTATTTGATTATCAAAAAATGTAAGAATGACTATCAAACAAAATAAAATTAATAAAATGACATTTTTTATTTTTTATAAAAAATGACCGCCCGATCATTTTTTATAAAAAGTAATTATTTACAAATGAAAATTTTTGAAAAATTATTTTATTAATAAAACTTTCCTCTTGAATCATTTTTATAAAAGAATCTCTGTTTATATTGTGTATTGTGAACTCCTACGAATTTCAGCTAAATGTTCTTTTCTTTTCTCTTTTCTTTCTAGTTTTAGTTTTATGAAAAGTTATTAGCTTCTTTCGTTTATGTTGTCTAATCCAGCTATCTTGTCAATAATAATTATAACAATAATAATAAAATAATAATAATAATTCTTTCTCCTATAATCTTTATGAATATCTGACATCTGTCCCCTCCACTCAGAAACACAATATGCAAAGTTTTATTTTATTTTTATTTTTTTGCAAATAGAGAAATTTGCCATCGTGCGCATACGAAAGCTAGAATACGTATTGGCCCTCGTTTATTTGAACAATTTGAATTGTTGTTTATGATTCAAATTTTAATTTATGATTCAAATTGGTATTTAGAAGAGAAAAATTTAAGGATAATTCAAACAATAACAATAGTTTAAGAATAATTCAAATTATTAATTTTAAAATTAATCTTATGCTTAAATTCTAATAATCTGAATGGCTGTCAACAGTTTAATAGTTTAATATTCTATTTTTTTCTCTTTTCAATTTTAATCTTAAAAATGATATAACATTTTCGTTTTAATTCCGATTGAGATAATTTTTTTAATGTGTTTATAATGAAGAGAGGAACAAATCATCACCTATATTGTATATTTTTTAATGTCATTTATAATGAGGTTTTATAAGATTTGTTACAAAACTCTAATAACAGTTTTCAATACTTTATTCAAACACAGTTTGAATTTTATTCTCAATTTAAATTACAATTTATTTGCATATCAAAACAACAGTTTGAATCACTACAGTTCAGATTCTAAATTCTAACAAAAAAAGTTCAAATCTTCACAATTTAAGTTGTTGAACCAAACAAGCCCCTAGTGATTTCATCAATCCACAAATTAAGAAAATGGGTTATTCAACATTAATGGCACATTTTCCAACCTAAGGAAATAATTAATGGGATAATATTGCAAGATCCAGTAAAAGTATTTGGACATATGATCAAAGTAGTTACCCGCCTTATAACTCAAACACCTCACAAATAAGAAGAATTTACTCTGCCGATAGGATACTGAACCATTAAGGCCTCATTTAGAGCATATATTCTAGTAATTTTGATTCGTTAGTATGAATTTTGTGAGGGAGGAAATTTTTTAATTTAAGTATTTTGTGAGATAAAAAACACTGTAGTAGAACTTAAATCATGCTTCAAATATATTTATCAAACAAACCCTGAATCTAAGTGTGATATTCTGTTAATTAACATATACTTTTTTATTTTAAATTATTGCAATTTGATCTGACAATTAAAATCTGTATCTAAATTGATCTTACAGTTAAACTTGTGTCCCAACAAATAATGACAAACTAAAACTGTTAGTTTAGTAAATTTCATATTTAAGTAATACAAAAATGATTCCCTAGATTGACTCTTTTATCCTTTCAATATTATTTTTTCACTATATAGTATATTTATCTATGTACACCAATTATTGTGCAATTAGCTTGAATGAGAAGAAAAATTATTTTACACCTACAACTAACTAGCAAAACGGCAATTAAGTAGCAAGGTACTAATTATTAACATCATCATATATCATTACTAGGAATTATAAAATATGAAGATGAAAACGATTACAAGAAGTCGGTAATTGCAAGAATAAATAGAGTATATATGGACAAAACGACAGACAACCAATTAATTTAATTAAGCCAAAATCAAGAGTTGCTATAAGACCTAATTAAGAGAGCTTGAGATAACGACTATGCAACCTGCTCCTATATATCTAGTTACAGCAAGAAAAATTAACCCATTTCACACGAAAAAAAAAAAAAAAAAAAAAAAAAGGACACAAATATCTATATATAATACCTATATTTCAAAGTTATTATATAATGCCATATCTACTTGTTTTCTGACTTTAATTCTGATCTATTTTCATACACATGAGACTAAAACCCTACAGGTAATTAGAAGATCTCTGTTGAACAAGACCATTTTTCTATAACTTTTTTAGGGGAGTGAACAAGAGCAATTCGGTTCCACGTATAAGAATACCCTAGTGAAATCAAATCATGCATAAATCAGACAATCATGAAAGATTGAACTTGATTATGTTTTTTTTTTAATTTTATTTTAGATTATTTTAACAAATTCTAGTATATATGATGATCAGGAAAAAAAAGTACATAGTGTTTATATCCCATGTACGTACCATTTATCTATGTACATGCTTCAATATATAAATACTAGCTAATATATGTATGTGTATGTGTGCGTGTATATATAATAAATTATCAGCAAATACAATGCATGCGTATATACATATGTATGTATGGATATATACATATATATATATATATTTATACATGTATGTATGTATATTATGCGTGGCCTCCATTTATGCACGTTTTAATGAAGCTAATTTGTCAAATTGATACTTTGGTTGCAACTGCTGCAATAAAGTACAGAGGAGGACATGCCTGTCGTCCTGTCAACAAAAAAATAAGAATCCTGCTGGCATTTCACTATTTCTTACGCATGCAAACGTCAGCGACGTTCAATTTGGGCAAACCACAATCTGACTGTCCGTGGTCCGTTTAATTATTCAAATTTTTAATTTAAATTAAGATATATTTTTATATGAGAGTTTTTTATTATAATAAAAAAATTAAATTTGATTATTTTTAAAAAAATTTTATTATAATAAAATTTAAGTCGGTGAAATAAACGAAACTCTAGTTATACCCCAACATGAAGCCAGTATAATTAATGTTACGACTTGTTAGAAAAAATAATTCTATTAGAAATCAATAAAAAAGCAAAAGAAAAAAAAAAGAACAATGAGAGAAAATTAGGGTAGGGACGTATGAGAACAATACAATATATTACCCTACACAGGGTATGGTAGGATACAATTTGAACCCTCACATTTATATCGATATCAGTTTTCATTATTGAGTTGTTTATTTATTTATTATTATTATTTTTGAAAATATGTGATATTAGTAATGTTTAAATCTGAAGGTTTAAAAGGGTCTCCTAGCTACTAGGACTAGTTTGTAAGGTATTTAATCCCGAGAAAACAAAACAAATTTACTTTTTTTTTTCTTTTTCTTGAATATGTTCAAAATCTTTGTTGACGCCTAAGTATATGCGTGTGTGAAGGCGAAGACTAATATAAATATAAAACCAGAGAGGAGTTTTTGTTTTGTTTTCCTTTCTTTGAAAGAAGGACAGTCATGTTTTTCTAGGCTACACCGACATTACAGATCATTAGGAGAGTTTCAATTACGTGTATTACTATTCCTTAGAATACCTCCAAAACGAATAGAAATTTAGAAAAGGAGTTAAAAAAGAGATTTATATATTCTTCACGTTACTGATTATTACAAGGGAGAAGAGATATTAATATTAGAATGACATATATTTATTGCTCTATAACGAAAGGATAATGTGGGCAAGTACTATATATATTATTGTTATTTGTCAATTCAATTAATACGCGTCATTAGATAATTGATTAATCGTTAATATTTCATTGAAAAATGATCACGTTATTTAGAAAAGTAGTATTAGTGTCTTCATTAAACATGATAGGGCAGGCCGTGAGAAATTATTATATATTAATTAGTCACTTAATAAACTTTCAATAAAAGACTTCCCTCAGACAAAGAGGTGCATTGCCTTTCGTTTTCTTTCTTTTCTATTATAATTATTTTGGTGGGGAAGGACTTTAATTAGGTGTCTCCTTGAAACTTGAAAGGAAAACTCCATTTTTCCACTCCAAAAAAGTTGTTCCTATAAATGTTATAGTTTCTTTGTGAATTTATTTTTCTTTTTTAAGTAAATGTTGTTGAATCTAATCTTTCTCATTCTGCTTTGGAGGCCAAAACTATATATTATATGTATTTCATATATATATATATATATATATATATTTATGAAATACATATAATATATATATATATATTTGGCCTCCAAGACAATATCATATGAGTTTGGTACGGATAAAGAATAAAAGCACGTGGGTTAATATCTTGATTAATCAAGTTACACACTTACATATAATGTAATGATAACGTCCAAGAAGATGCCCTTTAGTAAACTCACTAATGTGTATGTACGGTGCCTTATATCGCACGGGTTCTTCACGATCTTATTTTATTTCAATTTTAATATTCTTATCATTTTCTTTCTAGCTAGGTGGAAACAGAGAAAGCCACTAAACCAACGACTGTTTCGAAAAAAAAAAAAAAAAAAAAAAAAAAAAAAAAAAAAAAAGGAACTTTATCATGGTATAATGTTTTATAACATCAGATTTTCATATTATTAATTCATTTATATACATATTTTTCTATTGTATATATGATTGTGAGGTGATGTTTTAACATTTAGAAACACGTAAATGATCTCAATACGAATTTTTGTAATTGAAGCGCCTAAGAAAATAATAATAATAACAATTATAAGCTTACATTACAATCCAATATATAATAGCTTCAAATATGCCCTCTTGTCTCTCCCTCACTCGCTCTCCTCTCTAATCAATCCTTATTATTATTTTGTTACTTCTCACTTTCCTTTCCTTATCTTTCTTTCTATCCCTAATGACGGAGCTCCAAACTTCTTGGTTCTCGCTCTCGTTCATTCTGGTGTGTTCTTTCCTTTTATTTTCGCGAATATTTCGCGCGTTGCGGCAGAGATACCTCTGGTGCAACTGCGAAATTTGCCATGTTTATCTCACCTCAAGCTGGACCAAACAGTTCGCAAATCTTTGCGACTGGTACTCGCACCTCTTGAGTAAGTCTCCGACCAAGACGATCCACATCCACGTCCTCGGGAACATCGTCACGGCCAATCCCAATAACGTGGAGTACATGCTGAAAACGAGGTTCGACAATTTCCCTAAAGGGAAACCTTTCTCGGCGATCCTCGGCGACTTTCTCGGTCACGGAATATTCAACGTCGACGGCGATTCGTGGCGGTTTCAGAGGAAAATGGCCCGCTTGGAGCTCGACAGGTACTCCATAAGGTCGTTCGCGTTCGAGATTGTGAATAACGAGATTGAGAGTCGTCTCATCCCTCTCTTGTCGTCGTTTTCCGCGGGGAAATCGGTGTCCGGATTCGATGGAAACGGCGGCGTTTTAGACCTCCAGGACGTGTTCAGGCGATTCTCGTTCGACAGCATATGCAGATTCTCGTTTGGTCTCGACCCGATGTGCTTGGAGATGTCCGTCCCGTTGTCGGAGTTCGCCGTGTCGTTCGACTTGGCCTCGCGGCTGTCGGCGGAGCGGGCGATGACGGCGTCGCCGCTGGTGTGGAAGGTGAAGAGGCTGTTGAATTTAGGGAGTGAGAAGCAGTTGAAAGTGGCGATAAACGTAGTAAACATGCTGGCTAAGGAGGTGATCAGGCAAAAAAGGAAGATGGGTTTTTCTAACCACATGGATCTCTTGTCCCGTTTCATGAGAACCGTAAACGACGAGTCGTATTTGAGGGACATCGTCGTTAGCTTCCTGTTGGCCGGGCGTGACACTATTGCATCGGCTCTGACAAGCTTCTTCTGGCTGGTGGTGAACCACCCGGACGTCGAGGCGGCAATTTGTGCCGAAGCCGACAGAGTAATCGGCCCGAATCGGAACCTTAAAAACTTCGAACAAGTGCAGAAGCTTCACTACCTGAAAGCTGCGATTTATGAGAGCATGAGGCTTTACCCTCCTATACAGTTCGACTCCAAATTCTGCCTATACGACGACGTTTTGCCCGACGGAACGGTCGTCAAGAGGGGGACTAGGGTTACCTACCACCCTTACGCCATGGGGCGTTTGGAGGAGATTTGGGGGTCGGATTTTATGGAGTTCAAGCCCGAGAGATGGTTGCGAAACGACGGAGTTTTTAGACAGGAGAATCCGTTTAAGTATCCGGTTTTCCAAGCCGGGCTTAGGGTCTGTTTGGGCAAAGAAATGGCCATGGTTGAGCTCAAGAGCGTGGCTCTCGCCCTGCTCCGCCGCTTCGAGATCAAGCTCGCTACACCACCGTCGCAGCGACACACACAGCCACGGTTCTCGCCGGGGCTCACGGCCACTTTCAGTGGCGGGGGGCCCCGCCTTTCGGTGGCGGGCTTCCGGCGTTGGTGAAAGAAAGAAGGAAAATCTAAGGAGTAGTCATATCGTATTTTTAGTATATTATACGTATAAGATTCAATTTCCGCGTCTAATACCAACCAATTGGGTTTTTTTCTCGGTGCATGTTTATGCGCAGTTAAGGATTCCAATTATCTATCCAAGTTGCAAGAAGGGGCACTGGTTTATGAGGAAAGTGACATGGCCTAGCTAAAATGTGAGTATAAAACGTGACCTAAATTTTGCATCACACATACACATTATATTGTTTGTTGCCATGTAATATATCCGGTACTTGGTGTCGGTAGGGGGAGGGTTTTTTTTTTTTTTTTTGGAATCTTGGTACTGGTGCAGAATATGAATGCCACGTGGCTATGGGTGGCTATTTTTGACTGCTCAAGTGGATATATATATATACACACATGTGTATATATATCCATATTTTTTCCAGGGGGAGTGTACTAATAATAGTACTAGTCTTAGGCTCTTAGCTCTCTTGTTGGACAAAAAGAATGTACAATTGAAGGTACAGTGGGATAATTATGAGTAGTTTAGGAAAGGAATATATTAATGATGATGGGAAAAGTGTGTAAATGTAAGCTTCTCTTGTACTTGGTGATTCTTGTATTAACTTGTCATATAAGTTCTCTGGCTTAATAATTGGCTAGAGAGCAAGCTTTTTATTTAATTTGTACTTGGGTTTATGTATTAAGTCCAAACCCTAGGTAGAGTTTCTTTTCATGGAAACCCTAGGTATATGGTATTATGTCATGTATCATGTACTTGTACTGGATCAGAAACGTCCAAAATTTGGAGGGATTATTATTGTTGCATTAATGAATTTCTATTTTTAAATTTATATTGTAAGAATTAATTCATACTAGTTTCGAGTAGTACTAACTACTGTCAGCTTTTAATTTAATGCTCTTTGATTCGCAGAAAAAAAAAAAAATATATATATATATATATATAATATAGTACTAATCTTGTTCTTTGTTTGAACTTCAAATGTACTACTCAATGAAATGTATACGTTGCTTAAATGGTGCTTGGTGTATATATGTTTGAGCAACTAATTTTTTTCGATGTACTTTTCTCTTTTTTTCTTCGGAGAATCTCCACAGTATAAGACAGTACAGTCTACTAATTAAACATGATAAGTACTTAATTATTATCAATAAATGCATGTGTATAATGAATGGATCATGCAATATGCGGTACAACAATAGAAACAAAGATACAATATTGTTACCTTCCTCCCGAATGTCTTGTGGTCATCTACCTATAAATTATGTGAACTCTTTGTTTATGTATATTTACAAAGAAAAACAAACAAATATAAGACAAATCTCAATTACTAAAGTGTTATTTGGTGTAAGGGTTCTGAATCCGGAACCATAATTTCCGTTCAAAATCAGTGTTTGTTTACAAAAAGTAAAGAGTGGTTCTGATTTGACTCACCTATAATCAGTGTTTGGTTATGATGGTTCTAATTTAAGGTTTGAACTCTGATGATGTTTTAAATCATGAATCACTCATGATTCTAAAACCATCCCCCTTAGTTTTGGGTGGTTCAAACCTCTGATTCTAGTCATGGGTTCAGAACCATGATTTATACCTAAAATCATGAATCATAATTCTGGTTCTAAAATCAAAATTAAAATCAACCTGATTTGAACCCTCCTACCAAACGACCCTAAGTTCAGAAAATGAATAAAAAAGGAGGTTAAGTGTGTCCTTTCAGTATTTAGAACTTTGATGCATGGGCTTTAGCAATGCCCTAGTAATTCTTAGAATCTAAGGCCCCCTTTTCTTCATAAGTTTCAATCACATTTCGAACCTATAAAACATACTGATTGTAAATTAATTACAGACATGGGAATATTTTTAAAAAAAAACATAAAGAAAGTTCCTTAGTAGGTCTGAAAAAAAATTAAATTGTCAATAATTTTCTATTTTTAACCGTTAAATTTATATTAAAATTTATTTATTTTAAATATTTTTTCTATCTAAGGCCCCGTTCACTTCGCTGATTCGAGTTTAGAATTCGAGTTTTTCTACAGTAAAAAGCTCTCACAAACAATCACATCTAATTTTTTTGCTACAGTAAAAAACTCTCACATAAAATCACATCTCAACTCAAATTTTAAACTCGAATCAACGAAGTAAACGGGAGCCTAATATGATTTTAATCATATTTAACAGTGGAAAACTGATTTTATTACTTAGACCGCCAACTCAAAAAATCTTAAAAAATTAATAAAATTTCAGCGGGAATGATGGTGTTCACGTGTGTGTGTCTGAATTTTGTACTGTTTGATTGTACCACGAGGCAACAGTTTCCCTGTGCTTTTTTCATATATTTAAGGTATATTCACCTTTTAGGTTTTATCAACACTTCTATTGCGCACTGAAATGTCGGTAATCCGCCGGACAATGGCATAAACCCTTTGTCCACTTATTATATGTCTACAGTAGATATATATATTTGCTTTTCCCAGGTGATCATCGACAGTTTTCATAATGTAAGTAAATGGGGTTAAGTCATTAGTCACTTTGTGATTGTGGAGAGTGAGTGATTAATCATAAAACGTGTTGTAATTATTAAATATATTTTAATGTTTTTTGAGGTTGTCATTGATTTTCTTTTTTTCAAGATTGAAGGGTTAGGGGATGTTTAGTTGGAGGATTCAAACCATGATTTAAATCATGATTCATGGTTCATTACAGTGTTTTCTCTCATAAAAAATACACGTAAATTAAAAATGATTCTAATCACATGATTTTAATCCATGAACTAAATATCTCATAAGAGATCAGGAGAAGATTAGGACTAATTCGGTGGATATTGATTAATACAGCACATATACTTTTGTGTCAAATCAATAAAAGTTATTTTTGTAAACGATTAAATATAGAGATATTTTTTAACCATATGGGTAATATTACAGTTAGCAGCAAAAAATAAAAAAAATACATGTTAAATGCACGCAAAAGGTTATGGATAGAAAGTTCAAATTAACTACCTGATTAAGGAAGTACTTCAATAAGAGACGGCGAAGTGCTAGTACATTTTGATATGATCATCACGAAAAAAGTTACGGAACACTACTGTACATTTTGATATGTTCACAGTAACATTGTAAAATTGAGATTATTTTTGTCATGTACTTGAAATTAATTTGAGTTAAGATAACGCCATTTTTTTTATTGAGAAATAGTAAAAAATAGGTTAATATGAAAAGCTTAAGAAAGTATATAGGTCAATTTTTAGTTATAGAAATTAATAGGTCATAACTTGTCAAGTTATGGTTCATAACCAAATAAGTTATGGACAAACTTATCAAGTTATGGTTCATAGTCAGACAAGTTATGGACAATTATTGACAATAACTTGTCAAGTTATGGTTCATAACCAGACAAGTTATTGACGAAAATAGTAATTTAGCCTATTTATTAACTTATGTAAACTATTGATCTATTAATTTTAATTCATCTTAAGTATTAACTTATTTTTTTCTTTCTCCCTTTTTTATTTTATATTTTATTTTTTTGCTTCACCGCGGTCCTAATAGATTACTAAAATAGTTGTTGGGCTGATAGTGTACCCGAGAAGACTATTGATCTCCATTTTTTTTCCTTTTTTTTTTTTATATATTAGAAACGCCAATAGCTAACTCCTATACGATTTCGACTAAAACAATACCGTTATGGTCGAAATCCCCCAATCTTCTCTTTTTTCTTTTTTTCAAATCCTTTATTATATTTTATTTTATTGAATTTTAAATTAAAACTTGTTTTTTTTTAAATTTGCTCTGAATTTTTTTTTCTCGTTTGGGTTGTTTTTTTTTCATAAAACTTATTATTTCTTCATTTTGGACCTTTTTTAGCCTTTTTTTACTCTTGACCTAATTTTTTTTTTCTATTTTGATTCCTTTTTGGGATCTTATATATTCAAATTCTATATGCTTTTAAATGTGTCTCATTTTCCTTTCTCTACGCTTTATTTAATTGCAACTATTATTTTTTGATAAATGCATTCTTTCTAATATGTTTCTATTGGGTGATTTTAAAATGCGCTTTTTCATTTATTTTGCTCCAATTAACATAATTTCTTTCATATGTGCTCATGCTTATTTTTTCGTTTTGTCAAAAGATTCTTTTTTCATTTATTTCTTTCATATGTGCTCATGCTTATTTTTTCGTTTTGTCAAAAGATTCCCTACAATGTAATATTTCTTGATGTACTTTGTTTAAATATTTTTTTATGAGTATTTTCATTGAAATATATTTTTTCAGATGTGTTTCTATTTAATTTTTTGTGTGTAATTCTTGTCATTTAATTGGTGATACTTGTAAAAATGTTTGTATTGATTGTGTATGTTAACTAACTAACTAATTAAGATCTTTATTATCAGATAAATTTAAAAATAATAACACGGTAATTAAAACTTAATATACGTATAGCATGTCGAGTACAATTAATGACTAGAAAAAAGTGATGGGCATGATAACCAGTATTTGAAGCTTTGGTAATTGATTTGGATTTTTTATTACTTCATTTCACTGACCAACCAATCATCTATGTATCCATGTATAATGTGCATTTATAAGAACGCAATATATGTGTATATAACTCTGCTTGAACGATTTGGTATTGAACAGGTAATAGGGATCAAATTTTACTTAGGACTTTATCTGAAGACATGGGGATATATATTCACAGAATGACTATAGTATATTGCATAAAATCTATAAAATCAGAGTTTGTAAAAGTAATGAAAAGTAACATGAAAGCTTAACTTATTCGTATTGTTCAAAATTTTAATGGTTCAATTTGATAAGGAAAAAAATTACAAATACCACTCATGATAGTAAAAGTATTATATATGCTACTACACTTAAAAATAAATAATTGTCATTTAATTAATAAAAAAATGTCACAATAAACTTAATTATTTAGAATGGCATAAATAATAAGCCTTACACAAAATTACAACAAACTATATACTTTT